TGCTAAGGGCTGGTCAGAGCCTCTCAAGAGATGAGATTAGTCATCTTGTGTCTTTGAGAACCTACCATGGGGAAGACACCTAGAAGGGAAGGGGAAGTGAGTCTGGATCAAGATGTTTTGACTCTGATCATCCAGAATGGATAATCCCTTGACAAACAGTGGGAGCAAAAGATACACTTACATGTTCAAAATTTTTTTTGTTCTGATAACCAAGAAATAAAACACATCTGGTCCCTCTTTAAAAGAGAGAGAAAAAGAGATAGATAAATGAATCTAGAACTTAGTTGAATTAAAGACTTGAGAGGGCAGTCAGTTCACGGTTCACTGAGAGATATGAGCATTCCTAACTCTGCCTTTGAAAGGGCAGAGCCATGCCATAAGGCACCACTCACAATGGCAGACACATAGAGGTGTGAGTAATGAAGGTTCTCCCTCTCAGGAAAGACAGAAAGAATAAGAGCTCATAGATAACAGGAAAATGTTAAAAAGGCAATTCATATCTTTATCTTGAATGACCAAATAAGGGGGGAGCAAATGGGCCAAGGGCTGTGAAAAGACACAGTATGGTCTGAGGGACAGAAAGAGAGGTAAGCTTTGAAAAGCTAGAGATAAACGCAGATCAAGAATTTGTGTTTGTCTTTGTTATGTATCGCTTGTATCGAGGTGTTAGTGATTAGGCTTATGAGCTATTTCCCTAAACACAACATTAGTGTACTATTTCTCAATCTTGTTAGCACACTGGAATCATTTGGAGAGTTTTTGTTTGTTTGTTTTTTACGTCCTAATGCCTGGAGTTCATACCCAGAAACTTTAGAGTGTGACTTGGACATCAGGATTCTTGAGATGTCCAGTTGATTCCCATTGTGCTATGTATGGGAAACCCAGGTGAGCAGATGACACAGCCTATTTCAGCTTTCTCTACCTAAACCGAGCTTCCACAGATGCTGCTCTCCTAAGGACAGAGGTAGTTCCCGGAAGGGGTCCGGTTTGAATACCAGGCTAGTCCCTGAGAAATAGCCTAATTTGGGAAAGAAAATCTTACCCGATCCAGAATTACGCATTGCTAGGTTGGATTCTTACTCTGAACTCCTCAGCTAGTTTCTGATACAATCCGAGCAACAGGAATCTGACCTGGAATGGAGCTTTGCATATTTTGAGTTGTCCATAATCGCAGAAAATTTGCGGGGTTTTTTTTCGCCTCACGTAATCCTCATCACAACCTAGTGAGGCAGGTCCTGCTATAATTCCCAGTCACATGCAGGCAGTAACGACCAGAGAGGTTGGGTAACTTCCCCAATGACATGGAGTTAATCAGTGGCGGAGCCAAGAACTAAAGCAGGTTTGCATGACACCAAAGTCGTGTCTTGAATCTACTGATTGTGCCTCTTAGGGCTGAACGCAGGCAAGATCAGTTGTTCATGTGGGTAAAGCTTGTTTAAAAAAAAAGACTGACCCATTTCAGGTGTCTGATCACCAGGTATTAAAAAGATTCTATAGCTCTGCACTAAAAGTAAATGACCTCTGGCCAGGTCCCTAATATTTTCTCCAGAAATAAGAGCCCATATCTTTAGTGCCATGTATCCTCCATCCAGCCCACAGTGGGCACTATCCTTTCCTGCTGGAATCCCAGCCTGGGTCTATGCCTGCAGCGCAGAGCTGGGTCACCACAGCTCAGTCTGTGCAAACACACCTAGGCAGCAAACCGGAACCCCAGAACCACGTCCTCCCCACGTCCGCCTCTTAATTGAAGCATTCACATGAAAGCCGTGTGGCCAGAAATAAAACAATAAGAGACACCACTGCCAAGACAAGCTTTGCAAATCCCTAAAATAAAGTAGCCAGATGAATAAAAATAAGCAGGGTAGGGTAGAAAAACAGTCAATGGAATCTGGTGTGCAGTCAGCACGATTGGAAGCACCGTGTTGTTTTTGTATGAAAAAGGAAAGTGGTGCCTCAGGAGGATCTGGACCAGTTCCCCACTCTCCAGAAACAACATCCTGAGTTCTCAGCCACCAGAGCCACCGATCAGCCGTGCTGACAGACCAGGACAGCTGGGAACCTCATTTGCAACATCTTGTTTCATGGTCAGAAGAGAAGATCTCATTGTGAAAGTCAAAATCATTACCAGTCCTACTGAGCAAGACCAGATGACACCATAAACATGTTATCACGGAAATTTGATTTTAGAATCTTAGCACTCATCATGATAGCTCAGTATCTGGGTAAAAGATGAATCTGTCACTTATTAACCTAAAGCCCTGGCCCACCACAAAGTGCATGGAACCCACTGTTTCCCCAGTACTGACAGGGCTGCTCTGTTATCTCCACCCTCTTGCTGCTCTTCCTGGGACCACTGCCTTGGTGGAGACAGTCCTTGGGTAGAGGTAGGGTATAAGGTCACCTGCCCTCTTTGGACAATCCATTCCCATCTTCACCTAGGCGGGCAAGGGTCTCTCTAGAAGAATCTCAGCTACATCTTTCTATCCATCTTGAACTTCCTCTCTCAGCTCCACAACGTCATTGGTGTCTGACCCTCATTTCCCACTCCTCCAGACACCCCACCCAGCCCCATGACTCAGCACCCACAGGGCACACATTCAGAACCGCCCTGCAATAAGGGAGTGCTACCCAGCCAATAAAGCAGAACCCACGGGCTGACTCACCCCGATTCTGCAGACTAAACCACCCAACGCTTCCAGGGTTAAATGGGCAGAAATATTAAGCGGTTCCCTACAAGTTTTGAGTGAGGCAAGATCTCAGCCTGCATCTCTTAACAGGTCAACAAAGAAGTCAGGTCAAACAGCAGAGATGTGGTAATTATCCAGTATGAACCATGAGGTCTTCCCTGATCACCTACTTGAAACTTCTTTCATAACCATCTTAACCTTCTTCCTCTGTTCTATATTTTCTTTTTATCTTAGCACATAAATAACCTAACATAGCAACGTTACTAAATTACTATATGTAATTTAGTCATGAAGATAGATGTGAATGTTCTCTCTTCCCCTCCTAGAATGTAAGCTCCATAAAGATTAGGATCTTTGTTCATTGTTGTACAATAAGAGCTTAATAAATATTCCTTGAATATTTATTACGAAAAGTAAGGGATCTCTGACCAGGTCCCCAATATTTTCTCCAGAAAGAAGAGCCAATGTCTTCAGTGACACGTTCCCACTCAGCCCAAGATAGACACCGTCTTTCCTGCTGGAAAGCCAGCCTGGTTCCAGGTCCTCAGGTCAGACAGCTTGAGTTCAAATTCTGGTCCCACCACTTAGCTGCATGAACTTGGAAGCAATTATTTGATTTCTCCACACCTCAGTTTCTGCATCAGTGACATGAGGATATTACTAGTACTGGCTCCCCTGAATTAGTGGAAGGGTCGAATGGGATGATACACACAGAGCCCTTAAAGCAGTGCCAGCCACAGAGTGAATAACCTCTATCATTATTATGTTAGCTATTACTAGGTTCCATGAGACACAAATACAAAAATAATAGTTCTGTATATTAAGTGAAAAATCTGTAAGTTAGTTTGAAGGTTTCTCTTTCCACTAAATTAGTACTCAACTTACCTAAGAGTTTTCTCTAGCTCCATTCAATGATCAGTGTACCTATTCCCTCACTCATCATAGTGCCAACTATATGTGCTTGGTTCATTTGTACCTTATCAACATTGAGAAGAAAAAGTGAGATTTTGCATGCAAAGCAGTTAGCGGTGTCTGGAGTTTAACATATGACAGATAAAAAAATGAAATATAATGAGAACACCAGGCCTCCTCTGATAATCTCCCAGTGCAGGGAGGGAGACACACAGCTCATGACTTAAATTCTAGAGAGAAGTGTGGGAAATAGACATGAGTACAGATAACTGCAGGGATATGGGTCCCCAAGGGTGCCGAAGAGCTCAAAGGGCTTCCTGGCAGTACAACACTGCTTGGGACTCTGCTCGGGACAGGGGTCCCGAGACCCTGGGCAGGGAACAGGGGTGTGTGTCGGGCCATCTTCCTGGCAGAGCAGGCTAATAGCAGTCATGCAGATAGCATGAGAGGAGGGCAGGAGACTAGGGATTCTCTGGGGTGTGACAGGGAGAGCAGAGTTCTCAGAAACTTTCCATTGTGAGGCTTTAGAGCTCAAATAGTCCTTCACTCAATTACACAATTAAATATTTGAAGTGTAACTAATACCTTGTTGCCTGACTAAAGCTGAGCAGCTGGTAACAGTCTCTTACCAGCCAGTGATACCATAATTCAAAGAAGACTAGTTACTAGTTAAGGGATCTGACAATTGCTGCAAGGTGAGTAATTTGGGAAATGCAAAGAAAATGAATCCCAAGGACGCTAAGGAACGTTGACCTTCTGCATGCCCAAATTTATATTACTATGCTGGGATCAGAGAGGAGAATGAGTTTCTCTACAGGGAGACAGAAAAAACGCAGAGAAGCAGGCTGTGTGGACTCTACAGATGCTGCTTTGCTGGTGTTTTATCATCATTCCACGATTATAATCAAGAATGAAACAAGGCACTGCTGTGAGTTGCTAATTACATAAATATTGAAACTCTAAACCATAAAATAAATGTTCTTTGCTGGAGAAAAGAATGGCTTTCATAATAAAAATGACCAAACCAGAAAGTTTTTTTTCCAGGACTTTTATCTTTGCTGGAAGCTTTTGAAGTGCAATACTGTAAAACAGCCTATTACACTTCAGTTAACCATCATCCTCAATGACTTAGATTTTCCTTTATTATATCCTTTACAAATAACAAATAAAAACATAAGGAAAGCCGAAACTACCCACCCCCTGCAAAGGTCAAGAGGATCTAGAGTTCTGCAGTAGATGCAACACGTTCACATATGTGATTGATTTGATCGCTCCTATTTTAAAAAGCCTTTTAGTGCCATGTCGAACTTTTTAAAAATTTTAATACAATGTGTAGTAAATAAGCTTAGGCATGAGGCCACGTAAGATACTCAGTTAGCAAAGATAAAATTGTTGTCCCTCTTTTTTTTTCCTTTCAAACGAATTGGTTTAATTCCAGGTGATACCAAGGTTAGGGTAGAACGCGGACCAAAGAGCAGACTCTGGCAAGATTCTGAGTTGGTTTTACTTTAAATTCACAGTTATGGTAGGAATGACTTAGTGAAAACAACAAAAGAATTGATGAGCTACTGTCAGATTTTTTTTTTTTTTTTTTACAAAAGTTTATTCTTAAATGTACAGCAGCTCTAAGACAACACTTAATTCCAGCTGTAGGTAGCAAAAGATGCTATGGCAGGGAATACAGATGTTTAAACATGGATGAAATAAAGGGTCACCATCTCCTCAGGGACCAGGAGCAGCTTACTTTTTGCCAGATTTCTTAATTCCACTTGTGGTCAGGGGGCCCTTCCCGCAGCGTTCGCTTTTGGTTCCTTGAGTTTCTTCTGCTCTTCTTTTTGTTTCTGCTTGAAGCCTGATCTTCCTCGTCCATCTCCTTGGCCTGCTTCTTGGGCTGTTTCAGGGACTTCTTCTTGCCACCTTCGCGGCCGGACATGGCGCCTGCCGCCCCTTCCCCCGTCCCTGCCACCAGCAAAATCTCTTCTTAAGAGACTTGTTAACTTGGGATGGAAATGTATCAGTATGTATTTTAGAGACTTCCAAGATAAAGAAATGAATCCTCCCTTTTACCTGGAGTAAATAATCGTTCTACTAACCAGAATACTCACTACTCAGGTTTTCCAAATACTCGTGTTAAACGTAAAGTAGAATGAAGGCAATAGCCATCATTTTGAAATACAAGTCATGCAGAATTCAAAATTTGTACCATATGGTATTGATTACATCAGTAATTGTTAAATTTCAAACAAGGCAAAAATTCAAAAGCTATTCAAAGTTTCCATGCCAGTTTTAACATATTGCTGAAGAAGCCAAAGGAGGAATCATTGTCACAAATTTCATCCAAAAAAATAGTAACCCTCAAAGATATTGCCAGTGATATTTTTAAGTAAATATAATTCAGAAAATTTAAAGTTACTTATATTTAATGTCCCATAAGAAAATTAATTTTATATGAATCGATTTGCAAATCCATAGTAATTTTCTTGTACAAATACTATATTTGTCATAAATATTTTATATGTATAAGCATATCCACAGCAACCTAAATTATAATTTCACCTATATGTCCTTGGAAACCAGATATCATTTGAGGCAATGTTTAATTCAGTTTTGTTCTCTTTTGGATTACACAAGAACTTGAAATTTTAAATGAAGCCTAGAGTTGAGGAGGCTGAAATGGGCAATTAATTACACTTTTCTGTTTTGTGAAAGCTTCTTCCCTACAGTCACTCAAGGAATATTTGTTTTGTACCGACTATGCACCAGAAACAGTTCTAAGCAGTGGGCAAACCCAGCAGACGCTGGCAAAGAACCCACCCTCCAGTGGGGTGACACAAACACAAATGACAAGTAAAATGCATGGCATGTTACAGGTTGCTAAGTGCTAGAAAGAAAAAGATGGAATAAGAACTAGGAAGTGTGGGAGAGGCGTGGCAATTTTAAACAGGATGACCAGGGAAGAATTCACCACCAAGGTGACATCTGAGTGCAGATCTGATGGAAGGAAGAAAAGAAGGCATGGGATCCTTGGGGGCTGAGCCTTTCCCCAGAGTGACGGCGAGCAGAAAAGCCCTAAGGTAGCAGCAGGATAGCATACTGCAGGGACACCAGGGAAGGCTGTGTGACCCCACTGAGGGAACAAGGGTGAGAAAATCAGAAAGAGAAACCAATGAGGTCATGGAGTAGGCAATCACAGAGGGCTTTCGGCCACTGTAAAACTCTGCCATTTCCTGGCCATTGGAGGGCTTGGGGCCGAGAGTGGCTCACATTTTCACAGGCTCTTCTCACTAGATTTGTGTTTGGAATCTAGGGCAGGCAGGGAGGCCAGGGAGGAGGTGACAACCCAGGTGAGGTAAGATGGCGGTTAGACCTGAGTGGCAGAGTGGAAGTGACAAGAAGTGGTCACATTCAGGTTATATCTTTTGAAAGTAAAGCCAACTGAATGTGCTGAATAGATGGGGGTTTGAGAGGAAAGAAAAGTAGTCAGTCATGCCTCCCAATGTTGGCCTCAGAGATTGGAAGAATGAGAAGGGAGTTGCCGTCCTCAGATGTGGATGCCTAAGGCAGATATTGTGGGGCAGGTCAGGAGTCATTCTGGAGATGCAAATGTTTAGACACCAGTTAGACAGGCAGGTAAGGAAGTGTGCACAGCTGGAGCTCGGGGACAGCATGAGTATAAATGGCACGGAAAGACATAAACTACAACGATCACCATGGGGGTGAGTGAAGGTTAGAGACGAGGGCCATGCACTGAGCCCTGGGATATTCCAACCTACAGAGGCAAGAAGAGGAAGAAGACTAAGAGGGAGTAGTCTGTGAGGAAGGAGGAAAACATAGGCAAGCCAGGTTCCTGGACACCAAGTGAAGAAAGTATTTCAAGGAGGAGGGAGTGCCCCACTGTGCCTGTGGCTGCTGCCCGGTCAAATCAGCCAAAGACCGAGAAATGACTGTCAGATCCAGCAAGTGGAGGCCGCAGGTGACCCTGAGAAAAGCAGTGGACGGGGAATGAATGTAGGAGCAAAAGCCTGATGAAGCTGGGTTCACGAGAGAATGGAAGATTACCCAGAATACTCAAATTCACAGAGATAGCAGGTAGAAAGGTGGTTGCCAGGGGCTTGGAGGAGGGAAAATGGGGTGTTAATGTTTAATGGGTACAGAGTTTCAGTTTTGCAAGATGAAAACATTCTGCAGATTGGTGGCATAATAATGTGAATGTACTTGACATTACCTAGTTGCACACTTAAAAATGGCTGAGATGGTAAGTTGGATGTTGTATATACTTTACCATAATTAAAGCTTTAAAAACTTTGCAAGGAGAGAGATTGAAAGGAGAGGAATAAGTTATAATGAGTACAGCCAAGTCAAGGTAAAAGAGAGCAGAGAAATGGAACGGAAGCTGGAGAGGAGCATGGAACCAGGGGAAGAAATCAGCATGTTTGTATGCTGATGGGAATAGCTTGGTAGACAGGGGAAAACTGACGATTCTGAAAAGAAAGGAGACAACTGAGGGAGTGGTGTCCTTAAAAAGGTAGGAGGGACTGGATCCTTCAAGTGGGGGTGTGGCCTTCCCAGGCACGTCAACAATTCCTCTGCAGCAAGGGAGACTAGCCAGCAAATGCAGACAACTGAGGAGATATGGTGTCAGGTACACAGGGACGCTCCTTCTGATTCCCTGCAAGCGCGGTTAGCTGAGTGGCAGGAATGGGGAGATGTTAAAGGTTTAAATGCAGGAGAAAGTGTGAAGTAGTGAACAGACTATGGGAAATTCCCTGCAGAAGAGAAAGGCAGTGTGAGTGCTGGGTGGCAGTAAAGGCCCACTTGAGCTAGTGGTTATGAATTGAAAGTAAGGCCTCTGGGATGGCCGCAGTGCATACTGACGCCTCACTGAAATGCATGTAATTCACTGGGTTCACTTGGTTGTGTTCAACCTCATTACCTTTGCTTATAAAAAACCCAATCTTGGGCTGGGCGCAGTGGCTTAGCCCTGTAATCCCACACTTTGGGAGGCCAAGGAGAGCGGATCACAAGGTCAGGAGTTCAAGACTAGCATGGCCAACATGGTTAAACCCTGTCTCTACTAAAAAAAAAAAAAAAAAAAAAAAATTAGCTAGGCATGGTGATGCATGCCTGTAATTCCAGCTACTCGGGAGGCTGAGGCAGGAGAATTGCTTGAACCTGGAGCCAGGAGGTGGAAATTGCAGTTAGCTGAGATTGTGCCACTACATTCCCCTAGTCTTGGCTAGGATGGAGATTGAGATGGAGCGAAACTCCATCTCAAATAAACAAACAAACAAACAAAAACACCAATTTTTATAGAGACAAGTACAACTTTTAAAAACCACTAGTTTATATTCTACAGCTCTGGTCCCCGAGCATGTATCTAACTGTTAAAGAGTCAAGAGAAGTCATTCCCTGTAAGCCTGCTCATCAGAAACTCATAGAGGCTGAAGGGAGACTCACATTGGCTACGTGCTACCTTCCCAACCCTTCCCACCCCAGAAAAAAACCACCCACGTGTTCGCTCACTCACTCAGTCATTGATGGATGCCTGCTACAAATGACATACCATGCTAGGTATTATAGACAGACATGAATAAGACTCAATTCACAACCTCAAGTAACTCAGACTGACAGGAGGGGAGATAAGCAAACAAGAGAAAATGTATGAAGAGTTAGATCCACATTTAGCACCATAGCTAGATCTCAACTCGGCAAAGGTTGAGAAAGGTTTCAAAGAGGCATGGACCTGTAAGCTGATCTCTGGATAAATATTTGGAAGTTTGTCAGGATGGAGCGGAAAATTCACTCCAGATTACCAGGCACAGCCTGGGTGAAGAGGGGAGGAAGGGAAGAGCTCGTGAGAACTGTGACTGGCATTACGGCTGGGGACATGGGATTAACGGCCAGCAGGGATTCAGGGAGCCAGCCGCTAGAGGCTGTCATTAAAAAGATCCAGGTGAGAAATGAGAAGGGCCTGAAATAAGGTGAAGACAGGGGGCACAGAAAGGAGGAACGGCCAGGGAAGACAACCGTGAGGTAGAATTGGCAGAGCTTAGTGTTCCATTCAACACAGAAAATGAGGAGAAAGGAAGAGCTGGCAGCATCTGGATGTTTCTGACGTGAATGAATGACTGGAAATGTGCTAGTTGATCAAAAGAAACGCAGGAAAAGAAACTGATTTGGAGGTGATGGTGGGAGAGGAAAGTCACGATCAGTTTAGATTTTCACGCCTTGACTTGGGGTATCTATGGAGCAACCAAGTAGAGAGTATGTTGACCACTAGATGGTCGGTCTGGAGCCCATGAGAAATGCCTTGGCTAAAATGCAGGCTTGGAAGATGCATATAAATGAGGAGTGACCATGTGTGATATCATCCTTGAAAAATGTGAAAAATGAGGAGAGAAAATGAACTACGAAAGAATCTTCCAGCAGCTGCAACCATGAGGCCAATGCCTGTCTCTTTTCCATCACTTCTTGAAATGTGACGGCTTGGCTCCATGGGTCATGGGCTAGGGTAGGAATTCCTGAACCAACATGTAGTTTATTTCCACTATAGCACTCTGCCCAAAGTGTTTATTAAACAATTCAATAATGACGATGGTATTCTGCGGCTACCCTGACCAACTGTGTTGGTCATCATCACTCACTTTTTACGAACCAACATGATCCATGCTTTAGAAATCAATAGCCTTTTGTTATATTTAGGGTCACTATCAGTTCCCAAAACAACAAAAAATATTGTAGGCTAAACTACTATGTTGGTTGAGAAGTTACACTCCTTCCAGAAATACTTCCTTGGGCAATTTTTTTTCCCTAGCCCAAAAATACGAAACAAAGAGTGAACTGTCTACAAAGCGCCTGATTTTCCAATTTTTAAAGTTCACATTTAGCTAGAGCAGCACTGATAAGAAAGACATGTTTGTGATGGTGGCTGAATATAGTATATTCCATTGTGGAAACATGAATTTTAAGGCTAGAAATAGATATTCATTTCAGAGGATTTCTGCAGTCTTTTTTACAGATCTATTTGGAAGCTTTTTGCTGAATTAAAAAGTAATGAAATTGTTGACAATAAAATAGAAACCATTTCCTATTACTATTTACTAGAAGCTACAATGGAAACAGTTTATCTAAATAATTTAAGCAAATATATTTAACTGGTATATTATTTTCAAACATATCATTTCCAAAAAACTTAAATGTAGACAAAATGCTTATTCTCTTGAGACTTCTCTTTTTCCTCTCATTTTGATCACACAATTTACACATCTAGAATTCATGAATAACAAATAATTCTTGCTCACATTTTTTTAAAACAAGAGTTTTCTCAAAAGCTTTGAAAAAGGGTACTGTTTATGGGATACATTCAGAAGTCTACCCTCTTTCAAGTCTCTTGCATTATGCTTTAAACTGAAGAGTAAGTAGGTTTTATCTTTTCATTATCAATTGCCTTGCAAACAATTTGAATCTAAATCTGTTAGAAAATCTTCTTTTCTCCCCTGACGTTCACACTGTAGTATATTAATCTCATGCTAAAGTAGACACAAAAATGATGAAAAATTGTCCAGTGTTATTCTAGAGGTCTCCACTATGATTCAGTGGGCAATAACTGTGACCACACAGGCATATGTATGGGGCAGATATGTGGCACCAGGCTCAAAAATGCTTTTTTACTAGCAAATGGGGGTCTGCCAGTACCACAGTCTTTACGGCCACCAACTATTATTGAGCACTTATTTTGTCCCGTACCCAGCCTGGAGTGCAGTGGCTCAATCTTGGCTCACTGCAACCTCTACCTCCCAGGTTGAAACAGTTCTCTTGCCTCAGCCTCCCAAGTAGCTGGGACTACAGTCATGCACCACCTCACCCAGCTAATTTATTGTATTCTTAGTAGAGATGGGGTTTCACCATGTTGACCAGGCTGGTCTCAAACTCCTGACCTCAAGTGATCCACTTACCTTGGCCTCCCAAAGTGCTGGAATTACAAGCCTGAAACACGGAGTCCAGCCTGAATTTGTCTTAATCTCATAGCAACGTAATGGGAGTATTATTCCCACTTACAGAAGAGGAAATGGAGGCACAGAAAGGTAAAATAATTTGACCTCTAACACACAGCTAAAAAGTGGAAAAGTTGTGAATGTCTTTAGCGCCACTGAATTATACATCTAAATTAAAACGGTAAAAATGATAAATCTTAGGTATATTTTATCACAATAGAAAAATCACTAGAAATTATATTTAAAGAGAATCAACAGCTATATCCAAACATGACTCCCTATACCAAACTAAATTCCAAGTAGGTTAAGAATTTAATAGTAAAAAAATAAAATTACTAGAAAAAAAAAGTAGAAAATCTGAGATTCAAATACTACTCTAGCTTCAGAGCCCACGCTACATACTAATGGTCTTCCACAAATTGCTATTTTATGGGTAAAAACTACCCAAAGAGCTATTTTAGAACCCTGCCTCATTATCATCAAATTAAGTTTCATAATAACTCAATAGTGCTTCATGGCTTGCTGGAAAATATGTACTGCACTGAGCATGTCTGGCTGTGGAATATGTGAGTCAAGACCAGCCTGGAAGCCACCTAAAAAGCCTCAATATTGCAACCAGTTGATTCGCTGTAAAGAGACAGTCACTTTCAGTAAGCGCTCCAAACGAGATGGCATGGCAAGTGCACCGA